CTCTTCCCCAAAAAACCCCAAGCACTTGCAGGCTAAAGAGCACATGGCTCTTCCAGAAATCATACGTCAAGATCAAAACGCTGTGGGGGTGCCTGCTTTGCAGAGGGCTAGGGCGAGCATAATGCGTGTGTGGTTTTGTGTCCAACTAGCATCCTAGTTAACAACAGCTGTTCAAAAAGAAGCAAGTGGCACTGAGGGTCTGGCTCAGCCTGGCCCAGAAGCTCTGCCCCCTTTTTCCATTTGCTGCTGGGGGTCTCACAGGAATCATGCCCTTGAATGCACCTGACAGCATGCAGAACAGACACGTGGCATGTCACTGCCACACAGGGTACATACATGCTAACAGGAATGTGTGGTACCGCCACCTCTGTCAGCCCTCCCCTGTGGCCCAGCGCCAGCAGGTACGGCCCAGGGACTTCCCAGGAGGGGGAAATAGAGCCCACCTAGGAGCCTTGCGACATACTGGTTAAACTACAGTACTGCACTGAAGACTCTGCTCGCAACCTGAGTTTGACCTCGGGTTCAGGTAGCTGGCTCAAGGTTGACTCGGCCTTCCAGCCTTCCGAGGTTGGTAAATTGAGTACCCGGCTCACAGGGGGAGGGGACCATGTATAGTCTGCATGATTAAATTGTAAATGACCCAGAGAGTGCTTTAAGCACCATGGGGTGGTATATAAGCAGCATGCTCAACTTTATACCTTTAATGGATGACTAAATTAAAAATAAGTCAGCTAGCTTTAGACCCTCTCTAGTTTAGACTAGTAAAGGTGAAAGCTAATTATTTTTTTAAAAAATGTTAGTGGTCCAGTAACGAAGGTATCATCTGCGCTTGTTTTTCTAGGGGCACAGGACATAGGTAAGAGCCCCTTCTAGGGCTCCCTGCCTGATGGAGCGGACAGCAAGGAAATGCTTCTTTGCTGCTGCTGTGGTGCTTGCTCTTTGCTGAGATTGTTTTGGGTGAGAAGATGGCAATGCCTTCGGCCCCAATGCATTTGGCTGAATGCTGCGCTAATAAGGTGGCCTTGAAATGGAGAGCAGTCTCTCTAGAACAGCTCTTTGCCCCCATGGGAGGGAGAACCTTCATCTTATTCAACATCAGGATGTGGGCAGGTTACATAGAGGGAAAAGGTCGGCCGCCTTCCAGTTGGGCTGCCCCCCTCTTGGCTGAGGAAGGATGCCAGCAGAGTCGGGGTGGGTGGAGGGGATCGTGAAGGCTTCCTGGCAGGTGGGCTGCGTCCTCCTCTGTAGACACGAGACAGTGACGTTGAGGACGTGAGCTTTGGGTCCCACCATCCTGAATAATTGTTGTTGCCCAGCTTTTATTTCTTCAGTTTGGCAGAAAGTATTTTAGTGGGTTGGCTTCCATGCCTAAAGTAACTGTTTGGAATTTTTCTCAAGGAGATAGGGGAGATTGGCTTGATAGATTGAATGATGCTGGGAATTAGATGGAGAACGTCTTTGTGGTGGGTCCTGCTGATCATAGGGATGAGACCTGTTTCATGGCGCATCCCTCCCTCCTGGGTGACTGAAGGATCTCAGGCAGCGGTTTAGGAGGAAGGGAGCACCCGTGCCTTTTGCCCTGCGGACCCTGACTTGCCAACGTGTTAAGCTTCAAAGAGAGGTCATCTGGGGTTTTTGGGTTGGGTCTCATCAGTGCCCAGAGAACACCCAGGCCTGTCTGTGTCTTACTTCAGCTAACTCTGAAGACAAGGTAGGTGTTCAGAACATGATGCAGGGATGGATTTGGGTGTAGGATGACAGGTTGGAGCACAGACCAGACAAGGAGAGCTCCCGTTAGCCGCTAAGGGCAGACTAACACTGGAGTAGAACCTGCACTCAGTTGAGTTGCATTCTTTTTAAAGATGAGGCTTGCCGCTTGGGAGCCCTCACAGATTATTGTTGAGTTTTTTGCTGTGGCCGTGAATGCCGTCGCCCCCAGCTTTGACTATTCAGTTGAAGGTGGATCTAGACATGTGCGTTGATCATTTTCTTACTACATTGTTACAGTATCATCTGCACGGGGTTGTTCTTGAAAAGTGTACAGAATGTTGCAACCAAATTACTTTCCATGTGCTTTACAGACATTAGTGGAATATTCTTTTATCCTACATTCCTGGGCCTAATTCAAGGTGCTGATGCTTACTTCTGAAGTCTTAAATGTCTTGGGCCTGAAATATTTAATTAGTTTTCTCCCTAGAAATGTGTTTGTGGGTTGCAGTAGCAGTGGAAGTCCAGTTGTTAGTCAGGGGACATACATACATACAATACATACATGGCCGGCCGGCCAGCATGGTTGATTGGCATCTGAATCGATACATTTCTGAAATAACTGGCCCATTTGCATCCTAGTCTTTCCCTCCTATTCTCTCTGGATTCTCCTGTGTTCTGGTGAGGCAGAGAAGGCAGCCGGCAGGCAAGGAGGAACAATTATGGGAGCAGAGGCACTGAAACGCCCCTTTGAAAAGAGAGGTTGTAAGGTTGCCAGGGAGCTGTCCAGCCAAGGCCTCTGGCCAGACAACTCCACTCCTGTGTTGGAGTGCTCATTCACTCCTCGTCTTTGATTGGAGTAGGGGATGGGGGGGGGGCCTGATAGTAGATCAGTTGTGGTTTGGGGTCCCAGCTGTGGCTCGCTGACACCTTTGCTGCTGGCAGTGACAGTGGAAAACGTTGGGATTCCCTGATTAGAAAGAAAAAAAGAAAGAGTAAGTAAGAAAGAAAAGCTGCATGCAAAAGGAAGGGGCTCTGCTGCCATTTGCCTGTGACCTCCTTCTCCCCCCCCCCAAGATTTCTGCATCTACCCCTTCTTTGTCTGTATCTCTGTTCGTTGAACCACCTTAGGGGTTGTGTTTCATCTTCTGAAGTGGGACGGCTGTTGAAGCAGGGCTTCCATAGATCCCCTGCACCACATATGTCCTTAGCCAGCCCAAGGGAGCGATCCTGCCCTCCCCTTGCAGGCAGAGAGAGAGCGGCCTGCTGCCTTTAGCTGGCCTTTGGGAGGACCTGGGAAACAGCCCAAGGTGTTGCTTCTACTTACCTGTATGCATGTTTTCAGACCATTCGTCAGGGAAAGGCTTGCTGGCGGCAGAGCTTCTCCTCTTGCGGCCCCAGGAAAGAGGGCAGTGTCAGGGGAGTTGAAGTAAGAGAGCCCCCACCCCACCCCTCCAGTTTCCAAGCTCCTGGGACTGGAGCCTGGATGAGCGGCTCGGTTGGAGCTGTCCACTGCCTGAACTACTAGGGAGAGGCAGCCCCAGGCCCTAGACACGGAGGGGTCTCTTCCAGAAGGGATCTCTCTTGAGAGGAAAAGCTGCTTGCTGGCTCCAGCCTCTGCTGGCTGCTCTCACGTTTGCCTTACCTGGTGGCTCCAGGTTGTGTTTGTGCTCTTCCGTTCTAGCTGTAAGAAAAGACAGCTTGGGGCCAGAGGCAGCAGAGGCAGGAGGGGCCCAGGGACAGGCCTCTGACTGCAGAGCCTCAGAGGACTCCGAGGCCAGGTGGCCTTTGTGAGCGCAGGTGGTGTTCCAGGGTTTGCTAGGAAGACCAAGGCCTGGAGGTGCTATGGGGGGGGGCGGGAGGGGGGTGTAGGGAAAGCAAGGCGGTCTGGCAAGACTTGGGCTAATATTTTTTTAGGCCAAGAGGTAGGGGGCCCTGACATCTGGAGCTGGGGATCCTCCTACCTGCCCCGTTGCTTGTACCTCTCTCTGCTTTGCCTGGGAGAGAGACCTCACAATAGCCAAGGGATGGTTGCAGAGATGCAGCAACCATTTCAGGTGGACAGCGAGGGGGGGAGGGTTTTTTTGGAGTGCTCAGGGGACCGAGAGCCTTTGGTCAAGAGGAGCTGGCATCCCTGGGAGTCTGCTTCTCTCCCTCCAGGACCGCCCTGTCCAGGACCATTGGCTTTCTAGGCAGGGAGAGACGTCTTGGGAGAAGGGAAGCATTCGGTGCTGGGTCAGCGTCTCGACCTTTCAGCCTCCTTGTCTGGGGGCTTTTCTTTCCCCTCACGGGAGCTAGCTAAAAAGGCCAACCGTGTGCTTTTCAGAGCAGTCTCGGTTGAGGCTCGCCAGTTGCACCCCCTGCCAGCTTTGTAGAGCTGCCTGCCTCAAGCCCTCCTCAACCAGAGCATTGTTTACTTCTTGCAGGGAGCCCCACGTGTCCAAGGGGAGTGGCTGGCAGAGGAGCCATGACGAGGCAGCAGCAGCAGCAGCAGCGGCTGCTTTCTGCAGTGCTGTGTGCAAAGCCAGCCTGCCAGCGATGCCCAGCTTCCGCAGTGCCCCTTTGCTGCTGCTGCTGCTGCTGCTGCTGCTCTCGGCCAGCCGAGTTGCAGGGGCTGGTGGGGCCAAGCTGATGGCTCAGGAGGTTGGCGGCATTCACAGATATGGGCCCCCTTGTTCTTCTGAGGGGGTGGTGGTGCATATACCCCACTTCCTCCCTCCCTCCCCTCCCTCCCCTCCTCTTCCACAGGGACAGGAGAGGCTGGTGGATGATGTGATGCTAAACAACCAGCAGGCTCTCTTCTTTCTCCAGCAAGCAGAAAGAAGAAGGGCAGCCGTTCTTCAGCACAGTTTTTCTAGCCCTGGAACTCTTCAGGAATTGGCTGGGACCAGAATTGAGAGGGAACCTGCATTGTGGCCTTTCCTCCAATTAACAGTCCTTCCTAAATCTAACCCACCCAGCTCAGTGTCTGTGTCTGTGTGTGTGCGTGTGCGTGCGTGCAGACGCATCTGCAGATGTGTTCAGAACGCCCTTCCATCTCCCACCTCTTGCTGTGGTGGGCTGAGCCGCATTCCCGGGAGAGAGACCAGCCGTCGGAGTGCAGGAAGCCAAAGGCCGCTGCAGTGGATGTCGTTGGGGCTGCTTGGGTCCTTCCTAAGGGGTGCCAGTGAAAAGGGAGCCTTCTGCCGCCCTGCTCACCACTTGTGTCCCTGCAGTCAGCTGTGCCAGTCAGTCCCAGGCTCCCTGGCTCTCCAGAGCTGGCAGAAGCTACAGCGCCCGGCGCTCTGCGCCAGGGCCTCCTTCCTTCCCCAGTGGCGGCTATCAGGCCAGCTGTCTTCTTTCCATGGATTGCATGGCCGTTGGCTGCAAAAAAGCCCCCGCATGGTGGGGAATCTTCTGTGCCCGATGTCGGATGGTTCCATTCTGCTCCTGCCCACCCCTACCCCCTCTGCCAGAAGGGAGGGTGCCTTGGCCGATCTTCTCTCTGTCGGTCGGTGAAGCTTGCACCCTGCAGGTAAGAGCAAGCCTGACGATGGCGGTTGGCGGGTGAGAAGGTGGCGGTGCAGGGTGTCCTCCTATGGACGGCCCTCTCTTTTTCCTGCATGTTGGTGGTTCATTCTGATGGAGGCCGCCAAAGGCACGGCACCTCCACGGCAGGAGGGCAGAATCCACCCCCTGCCATGATTGCCCAGCCCCAGCAGGTCTCTGGGTGCTGCTGCCTCTCCCATAGAACTCTCCTCCGTACCCCACTTAGAAGAGCCAAGCTGAATGCCCCAGAGCGTCTGAGAAAGCAGGTGAACGGAGGGGCTGCCCTTGTCCCCTCCCTGCAGGCACCGTCTGTGCAGAAGAGGGGCAGTGCCCTTTTAGCATCCCATGGATCTGGATCTAGCTGGTCCTCTGCCCTGCCCTGCCTTGCCCCAGATGCAGCTGCTGAGTAAAAGCTCTCAGAGAGCAGGAGCGCAACACCCTGCCTTTTGCCCTGCGGTTATGAGAGGTGCTCTGTTTTGAATGTGGAGGATCTGTGTGGCCGGGTGAGCTAAGCACCTCTGGAAATAGGTGATGGGGTGATGATGGGTGGATCTGCTAGGTCCTTGCCTGGTCTTTTTCTACAGAGATTGAGAGAGAGAGAGAGAGAGAGAGAGAGAGAGAGGAGAAAGAAGCTGAACAAATTCTGTGACTGCTTTGTTTTATGCTGAACCTACAGACTCCATCTTGCCTTGGGTGCTGTCTGCCTTCAAGAGCATCTGGTCTGGCT